ATGCTGAAATCTACCGCTTTTGAAAAGGGGGAGTCCATCTATATTAAACTGCAGTGTTATTTAATTAAGCAGTCAAGAATAAAGATAGCCATGACACCAAACCTATAGCCAAGCCAAAATGATGGTAATCCCCACCATCCACTATCATAGTTCTTATTGGACCTTGCGTCCTGAGAAATGCCCTGGCACCATTATATATGCTTTATATGGTATATTATATAGAGTGCAGTTATGCCCCTAAAGAGGCTGAAAATGTAGAAGCCAAGTGTCATAAACTTGTTATTTAAAAGGTCAGTTTCAGTATTATCTGAATCAACAGCTGATGCAGAGCAGCCAGAGCTCTCAAAACTAGTCGTGAGCTTTGTGTAGTGATACAGAGTTTACACTCACTTCTGAACTCAGCACATAGCCCCTTTCTGCGTTACAATAGTCTGAAATACCAGACACCACTATCACTCTTGGGTGCTTAACTTATCCACTGATACAGCTACGTCTACTTGTAAGTTTTGTGTGCTAACCATCTCTTTAACTGCTGGAGTATCTCTGTGGGGTTCGAGCGTCAGGAGCAGCGCTCATCACAGTTCTCTCCCTCATGCACAAGATCACACAAAGAGTTCTGCCTGGTGTCTAATGCTTTTTGCCGTTGTAGTAGAATTGTTTCCGATTGTTCCAGCGAGAGTTTTGTGCTAGACAGACCCATCAAGTGTTAGGTCTCTCCACAAGAATGCATTGCCAATGTCAGAGGAGAATGGCCAGACTGATTCCAGCTGATAGGAAAGCAAGACTGAAAATAACCACTCATTACAAACGAGGTATGTGCAAGAGCATCTCTGAAGGCACAACACATTGATCTCCCCCAGTGTAACTTTTGTTACATAAGAACAGGTCACTGAGGCTACAACTCACAAGGGTTTACCAAAACTGGAAAAGTGTAATCTTGTTTGATTAGTTTCAAGGATGATTCGTCCTGCTCTCCATCAGCAGGCTAGTGGTGATTAAAATAATCCTATTCATGCCAAGGGGAAATTGAGAGACAATGCTTAGACTGTTAAATAATTAAAAGTATGATCTCTCATATTAATTATAACAGTTATTAATGTTCTGGTTACTTATAGGATATTATAGCCATTTCTGAAACACATTTGTGGTGGTCCTAATATTTTGCCTCACCTGGAAGGCATGGAGAAATCCTTTTCACCAAGAACCAAGTGCCTTAAAACATTATTCATAAGATATGCCCTTTTAGTAACAAAGCCCTTGATGGTTTCATTTTTAGTTACTTTCTCTGCAGCCCAAACAAAAAAATTAAATTTCTTTTACAATAAACTGTAATAGAGACAATTGGAGAGAAGGAAAAAAAACAACAAAAAAAAACCCCCCACAAACCCACATAATACAGTGTTTAATTAGTAAAACAGCTTATCAGAACACACATTTGGGCAGTAATTGTACATTACAGGCTTAACAGTAGACTTCTTCAGTCTACATCATTAGTATGGGAATGGGTGTCAAATAAGGGCACAAGTGGACATTCCACCCCCCCACAGTGGGTCATCGAAGGTTGCATTAAACTCATGGCACAGTTCCACACATTACATCATCCATGAGACGTTCACTCTGCCAAACAAGATTGATTCCCTGTGCAGAGGGTTAGGTACAAAGAATATCAGAGCGAACTCCATCACCTCATTGGTAAACAGCAAACGTTTTCTTGTCTCGAGCTGTTGTACAGACCACATTTAACCAAACATCATATGAGAGCCCATAGTGTTTATCACAAGGTTTCTCTCGCCGTGTACACATAATGTAAGGCTGCAGGCAGTGTAGCATCAGAGTTTATAAGGAAATGAAAGACGAAGAAAGCAAAGCTGCATTGGCAAAGTTCTGATTAGATTTATGCCCGAGGGGGCCGCCATTAGATATTGTTATATTGATGTAGGGTGCAGCTAATAAACAATGGGTCAATTTTAAGTAAAGAAATTCTTAAGATGGGTTTGTGGTAGTGTAGAAAGTCTTTTTTTTTTTTTTTTTACAATCAGAAAAGGTATCACTGAAAGGGCTTGTTTTCACCCCAACTTTAAACCATCACACAATCTATGTTTGTATCTGCTGCAAACAAAAGCAAGAAGAGAAAACAGCCTTGGTCGAGTTCTGGTAATACTGAAAATGCTCCCGAAACAATTAGAAGTTCAACAACATCAATTTGATAATCATTCACCTCGTATTAATGTCTTAATAAAAATAAAATTTAGCAAAAAAATAAAAAAAAATAAAATAAAATAAAAAAAAGTTAATGTAAGAATCTTTGGATTGTTGAGTGTTAGCCACAAAAAAAAAAAAAAACATTAAAAAAAAACTTACATATTCACATTTATCATTTTCTATTGGTGTTAAAAAAAAAAAAAGAAGAAAAAAAAGAAGAAGAAAAAAAAGGAAATTTAGTTTCAAGTACCGGTAATACATGAATAAATACAGGATATAATCGTCAGCACTAGTTACCTCCACCACAGACATAACGCTTTTGTTGTAGTTTCTTATATTAGCAGGATTACACAAAAAGAAAAAACATGAAGTCAGATTTTTCTGAGACTTTGAGAAGTAGAAAACGAGCAAAGGAAGAATGTATTACATTTTGTTGGACATCAGGATTGAGCGGTGGAGCTTCCCCTTTAAAACAGCCAATTGAAAATTAGCTTAGTCACCTGTTAGTCACTTGTTAAACTAAGCTGAGCTGTCTACACTGGCAGTCTATCACATGTTGTTTCACAGCTGTATTATATTTATTGTGCTAATAAATATACTTTGTACAGCATATGATGTGTACATGAAGTTATATTTTTGTAAAGCTGCATGTTAAGGCTATGGTGCAGCTACAGCAGAGACTTAACAAAGGACTTCAAATCAAACTTTAGGATTCCATGGAAAGAACACCATCTTTTTGTCATTTCATCTTTTACATAGCCGTATTTTCCACACTATAAGGCGCATCTAAAATCCTTTAATTTTCTCAAAAACCGACAGTGCGCCTTATAATCCGATGCGCCGTATGTATGAATTCTGGTTGTGCTTACTGACCTCGAACCAATTTTATGTGGAACACGGCGCTCAAAAATCTTTCCAAAAATGTTTTAGTACGACTTTAGTAAGCTATGAAGCCACACCGCTTGATGGTAGTATTACGGCTACCGTAGTCAGGAGCCAAAACTCTGTTCGCTTGAGGTCCCAAAATCAAACGAACACTGCAGCATCATTGAGAGTTAAAAACTGTCTAAATTCTTTCATCTTTAAAAAAAAAAAAAAAAAAAAAAAAAAAAATTATCAGCGTTGCTACTTTACCAGGTATAACGATTAATTTTAGCATCCAGGCATCCATGAAAACAGAATTTATTAAATTTAACTGAGTTAGAAGTTAGCAGGAAGTTAGCAGGAAGTTAGCTCGCTAGTTTCCACCTAAACATGATTTACCATGTTCTGACTGAGAGATTTCTGAAAAAACTAAAACGTACAGCTCGGCTATCACTTCCAACATAAATGAAGACAGAAAACTAAAAAGCAGTGACGTTTGTAGGGTTACTGAATCGGCCTACTTGGTATAATGATTTGCTACATGATTGCTAGCGACACAGCTATGTTAGCATAACATAAACACAGTGAAGCTGGAGGATGAACGCTAACTTTTTTCCCCACTCGAGTAACATGTAAGGTTAACGTGAGGGTTCCCGATGGTTAGCGACAAATGAAATCGCATGGCAGGATGCTGTAAATGGACCAAACTTCAGTCAGGAGAACAACTGAGATAATCCATCCACAATACGAGGTTAGTCTGCAACAACATGGGAATAGAGCAGCTGCAAGTGAATTCGGTATGCCTTATGTATGAAAACAGACCCATTCATCGACAGTGTGCCTTATAATCCAGTGCGCCTTATGGTCTGAAAAATACAGTACTCCTTTACTATTAAATAACATGAATTTGAGCATGGTGGTTTTTGAAAAATGTTTTATTGGAGTATTAGTCTTGGCGAAGATCCTTCCTCTGAGTCATCTTTTTGTTACTATGTAGATTAAATTAGCAGTGTATTAATTTAATTGTGTCATACAAGTACGCATGTTAATCAAAGCTATGTACTTAACCGATTGTGCATTGAATTGCATTTTTGGAATGACTGAACAACTCTTAATAGAGAAGGCCAACATAATTGGCACATATATAAAATATGTATATATTCTTTAAATATATATTTTGACTACATTGAAAAAATCTGTACGCACAGATAACTTGTTTTTAATTAAAAAAATAATAATAATTTACCCTAGCTCTAAGAACAAAACAAAAACACAAACAAGCAAAACAAAAACAACCTACACTTGGTCAAGCACATATTCCAGTGGATAAACTATGTAGAGACAAGTTGAGCTACAGATTTCATCAGTCTCCATCAGACTCAAAACTGATTTTTTTTTGGGGGGGGGGGGGCTCTCTCACCAGAAAAGGGGGAAAACTAGTTTTTTGAAGTGGATTGCAACCACTGAAAATATTTTAAGCTCCAATCCAACATGGCCAGAACAAAGTTTCAAACTCAAAGGCTGGACATGTTGGCATTTCACTGTCTAACAGTCCAGATAACTGCTACTTAAAATACCTTTTGATATAATTCAGCTTGTTTTAAAAAAAAAACAAAAACACACAAGTCAAACAATGCAGGTATGTTAAACAGTGTAGTGGAAATGAAAGTGAGATGACTGCATGAAGGGTGACTAAAGAGGTTAGAAGTTTGTGCTTCGCTTATTCTGCAGTGTTTGAGAAATTGCTTGTCAACCCTATGTTGCTAGCTCATTTTCTTCCCTGTATCGATAATGAGAGGCGTCGGCAGAAATGAAAGACACACAGACAGACACACACAGACACACACACGACAAAATGACAAGTTTTGCAGGTAGAGTCTGGTCTTTCACACTGGAGGGTAAAATGTAGCAAAGACAGAATGCTTCCATTGTGCTAACCTGTTTAAGCAACTTTTATTACTCCACCATTCACAAAAATAGACTACTTGGAATTTACTTGCTGGTTTGACATCGCTTCCAGTGAACTGTTAGGGATATCTGGAAACTGATGGTGGCAGCTGATGGGCGGGGTAATGGAGCATGTCGATCTCCCATCCAGTTCTACATCCTGAGAATCAGGTTGAGGCGTGCATAGTCATCCCCATTTTTCTTTGTTAAATCTAAAAATGAATGTTTAAATTGTCAGACAGCCATAAAATAAATAAATACAAAACACAACCTGAATTGTATTGTTGCAGGTATACAATGTTCTCAAGCCCCAACTTCTAAATGATATCAATTTAGTTGAACTAGGTGCCCCTGCAATGGCTTCCAATTAATTTCAAAATTTTAATGATATTAATCACTTTTAAAGCATGAACTAGCCAGACTCCAGTATGAACCTCAATCTGACTTTGAATAGTAGCCAGCAGGATGGTCTGATTTCCCAAGAAGTGATTTATGAAAATCCTTTTACCGAGAGGACCGATCAAGTGTGTCGTCATTGTAAGCCAGACAAACCTTTGCAATAATGGAAATTTGTGTTGCAAAACAATACAATTAATTATAATGGAACCTGAAAAGCCTGTTTTAGACATGAGTAAAAAACAAATTCCTCACTGTGGTTGCTTGCTCTTCTTCTCTTTAAAGAGAGCCCACAGTTTCTAATCTTACTACCACAAGTTCGCACCGTGTCAGCCGTCTCCTCCCCTTCGGTGTGCTCTCCATAGCGATTATACGTCTCCATGTCAGAGAGAGCACTCTCCAGTGCATCCTCTTCATAGTCAGTGTGGTAGTCGGATTCTTCTGATGCAAGGAAAGAGTGGGGGACAGGAAGCACACTGTGGGTGAATAAACTGGAATATTTGGAGTGTAGAATGGTGACAAATACACGTGGGTGTGCAGGTGCATAAGTCAGAACATTAGAAATGTCATACAGGGTGGACTTTGATGAGTGATGGATGACAAATTCATTATAAATAGAGAGAACAGGAATAAGAACAAGTTTGTAAATGCTTAGTTACTAAATTGCACAATAAAAACACGTTCCCTTTTCCGTCAGCAGGTTTTACACGGAGGCTAACAAGTCAGTCTCCTGACTTGTTAGAATTCTGACCTAATAAAATATGACCTTTTGTTTGTGGGGTTGATTTGTTTTTTCATTAGGTCAAGAATGACAAACACAAACATGGAGACATGAGTGTACTTAAAAAGTACTTTGAGTGTGGCTGAAAGCTGCAGTGTTGGAGTGTGTGTCAGTAGTTTTACCATCCACAAGAGGAGGTTTGACGGGCTCAATGCGGGACACAATTTCTGCCAGGTCAGTGAAGGAAGCATTGGGACATGTCACCACCTTTAAAAAAAAAAAAA